TATAGTCCACTGTCTATAATAGCCTAATTTAGATATCACTTTTTTTTTTTAACCGACTACCGACAACTTTGACCGGTTAACGTTGATACGGTCAACCACCGGTCAAACGGTCATCGGTTAACATCCCTAATATCAATATTGATATATGCACCATTGAGCAAAAATTTATTCAGTGTTGAAGAACCCACCATGAATCTATGTTGATTGATCATCCCCGAGCATAAATTTTTTCAATTTTGATTTTCTTCGGTAAGATCGATGTTGACTCAGCATGTTATTTTCAATGTTGAAGTCAACATTGACTCAAGGTTTTGCCACCATCAATTTTTCAATATTGAAAATCTGACCAAAAATCAATTCAGTTTCAACGTCGATAATCGAACACTGACCATTATTCAACGTATTTAACTATACTTCAATGTTGAAACAATAACATGATGCTATCTGGGTATGGTTAACTTGGGGATGTGTGTATTACCGTTTATTTCATGATTGCTTTGGTGCATTTCATGAAACAACTAATTTTCTTAAGCGTATAAGAGCATTTCTCAAAACAACTCATGCATATAGCACAACACTATTGTTTAGCTGCAAAAGCCTGTAACCCAAAATATGCACTTTCATGTACATGTAACTTCTTCAGTGGCCTGTACTACGAAGCGGGGTTACTGGCTTATCGGGGTAACTTGTTGGATTTAAGGTAGTCTGGGCAAAATGTAAGTGAGCGAATATGAAGTCCATTTAAACTGTGGTACCTTAAATCCGACAAGTTACCCCGATAAGCCAGTAACCCCACTTCGTAGTACAGGCCACAGATCTCAAAACACAGTACAACAGCCAACCAAAATGATACATAGTAAAAAACAATAAAATGACAATACAGAAACAACACAATCGTAACAAAATCAAGCACTGTGGGAACCAAAAATACAACAAGGCATATCACTGCAGTTTATAGATATGTTTTAAAATCATTTTGAAAGCTTGTTTAACTGTTTTGCTTGTGGTAGCTAACAGGAGGATCACATACATGTATTGTTTTGGATGGAAAATTATGACAAAGGGAAACTACATAATATATTTTGACCAACTAGAGTAAAGCAACTGAAAGTTGTACCAAATCATGACAATTGTACTAAACTATTTGCATTTATGCACTAAAACATTTGGAAATTTGCATAAAACAATACGAAATGATGTTTTGCTACGCAGAAGTGACATTATGGTGTAGGGATTGCATTTTGTTGTTTTGCAAATGTTTACTGACACGTGACAAATGCTCCAAAGCAATCGAGAAAAACTAACATTATGTCAAAATAAATAATGTAAAAATGTATTTGTGGATCTTTTGTTGAGTACATTTACCTGTAGAAGTACATTTGTATCTCTATATGAGAACTCCCACATTCCGCCCTCCATGCCACCCTACCAACATCTCTTGTAAATAAATACCCCAGTGTATTTCCACTCTGTTACACCTGCATGTTTTAAACCTTCATGTTCATTCTCTTGTTCCATTCTGGTCAGAATCTGGAGTAAATTGTATGACTGCATGGACCCATCAAACTGGTGATGGTGTAACACTGTGGATGTTTCTTGGCACAAAACACTCATCTTAATACCACCTGAGCTTCACTTGAATGTCACGTGAACCTAAACATTGTTGCTGACCATGTCTACAATCCACCCTTTTTCAAACAGAAAATTCTTGCAGGAAAAGACATGCAGCATCACAAAGTGGGTACAGGAACACAACAGTTCAGGTTCCTTCAGTGGCCCCAGATCCCAAACTTCAAGCACAGTTTTGGAATGAAGCTGAACTGGACATTAACAGCATGAATTTGTGGCTGAAAGATCTGTAGAAATCAAGTTAGCATGTTAGGAATGTTTCCAGCACCTTCCAAAATCCATGCCAGGATGAATTCAGGCTGTTCTCAAGGCAAACAGGGGGTCCTTCCTGGTACAAGACAGGTGTCTCAGATAAAGTGACCACTGAATGCATGTTCTTTGCTTGTTTATCCTTCAGAGACCACACTTGGCACTTTCTGCTTCATGCTGCTGTTGGTCTGGTCTACCTGCTGTGTACCGGAGTGGCCATTATCACCTGGAGAAACCACAGGAAGTTCTGCTAATGGCTGGACATTAATGGATTGGAAAAGTAAATAGGAAAATATTGTGTTCAGACCAGTGTATTTACTGATGCAGTGACTTGAGGCTCGGTTAATATCCCAGGATGTGATTCTTCCCCCTAACAGGGCAGTGATCACTGGGGTCTCTCTCCTAGGGAGGGTAGCAGCAGTGACAGCTCCTTAGGACGGGGCTCTGACTGCAATGATGCCCCTTCTGATCCCGCCTCCAGCTGTGACAGGCACCTCCTGAAATCCGGGGCCCCGAGTGAGACGCCCTCCTGCCCTTCGACTCCCCTTTTGGGGTCCTGTCCTTCATTCTCTCCTCCTCTGCACATGCTCAGTCTCTTAAACAACAACCCCTGAAATTCTACCTTTATCACTTTCTCAGTAATGAATGTTTGTCCACACACTCTGTTAACCAACCACAAGAGTGAGAATGACTAACTGTCCATATTTGTTATTGCCCGTTTAATAGCAAAGTGATATATAAGCTACATTTTGCCTGTTTTCCTTGCATCATGCTGTCCTGCTTCTGTTAATCCATCTCCCCTAATCGCCAAATAAATTCCTGTTTCTTAGACCTCTTAGTCTCTTGGCTCTGTTTAAGGTCAGCAACAAATGTTACAACATAATACTTAGACCTGGTGATTTATATATGTTATGGAATCACATGAATGTTTGTTTTTTAATGTCCATCAATCTCCAGTAAAGGCCAGTAATCCTGGTCAGGGTCACATGGGAGGTCTGGAGCCAATCACAGGCAGTGCAGGGTTTAAAGCAGGTTAAATGAGGATTCTACACGTATCTGTTCAAATTTTTCTTATTTGCAAGCTAACTTACTGCAACATATTTAGTGCACTTTAGATTCACCTGTTTTCTGAAAGACACTTGCCTGCCCTCTTCTAACTTTCATTCCAAGAAGCAAGCAGATAAGCAGATGAAGGAAACACCAGGCAGACAAGCAGAACTTATTATTTAAGTTTTTTATTTATATAATATGAGAAAGTATTAGAATTAGAAACCAAAGTCAAATTATTTCCCCCCACATCTAGACAGGGGCCTGGTTAGTCAGGTCCACTCTTACCCACGGTCCTATGCTCCTGGAGAGAACAGTGCTACCCATAGAGGCATTTGGAGGTGTGGTAGAAATTTATGACACACAGCAAATGTACCAGTGTTAAATTTACTCTACATGGTGTCTATATGGGTCCACACCATTCAGTGTTACCTTTAAAACTTTACAGTGTGCAGTGAGTGTTGTTTTTACAGTGTTAATCTTTATTAACTTTAATAGTGTTCAAATTACACCATAGGGTGTTAAGTCAATGAGTCTCCACCTCCATATATCTGCCCCATTTTAATATGCGCACAAGTCATGAGGATCAGAAGTGCCATCCCAGATTTACCCACCGTCATGAGAACGACTCTGACCAAAAAGGACATTACAGCTTTTTCTGGTTTTATATTGAAGCTTTGCTGACTCAGTTTTGACTGATCTTGAAAATTAGCAAGCTATGGTTCTGCTGGGTTTTTTTTTTTTTTTGGATGTATGGTTTTATGGCATATTGGTGTCGAGTCAGAGGAAAAACTCTTGGAAACATACCGGATATGTCTCCTGGGTGATATATATTTGAATGGTGTGGGGGTGTATTTTCGTACTGGTCATGCCATTGGATGATTAATATATGCAGAAAAGTGTTATTACAGTTGTGATACCTTTTTCTGTGCAGCTCCTGGTAGCGCCCACTCCCCTGTAGACCAATGGCGCTGGATGTATATTTGCATAGCATGACACAGTACTGTCAGATGAAAGGGGCAACATTTGGCAGTGCGCCAGCTTTTCTGTGCTATACGGACATTTATTTACGGCCACAATTTAAGCAGCTTAGTATGGCTAAATTATTAATGAGGCTTTGTATCAGAGAATGTGAGCGGAGTGGAGCAGTGAGAATTTGGCTCCACCCGCTTCTCCGTTCTAATTCGCACTAAGCCGCTCCGCTCAACACCGCGCTCCTCACTCCACTAAAATTTCCTCCCGCTCCAGTGAAATCTCTCCACGCTCACTCCAATTTATGAGGAACAAATAATCTGCATGCCTAATAAATGTCACCTTAAACCGAAGCCTTATATCAAAAAGATATATGAGCAACGGCAACATTGCCACCGAGAAAATTTTATTCTTAAGCAACATATAGGCAACAACGGACAGGTTTGGCAATGGCGTTCCACACGAAATAGGCTTAAAAATAAAGGAATCAGTGGGTTTCATAGCCTAAAGAATATACAGGCTAAGCATCCACGTTTTAAATTCCTCGTTTTTTTTCTGTTGATGCTGCTGCAGCGTCTCTATAAAATAAAATTTCACTGACAGCGTTACGTGAAATTTTAAAAATCCTATTAGACCTACTTTGAATGATAAAACGAATTTATTTGATTACCAATATTTACTTTATAGGTTTTTATACTTTAATTTACTTTATTGACTTGATATGCTACAACCATATAAAACTTGCTCACGTTTTGCTCTGGCTTAATGAAAAGCATTTTTATTAACAGTATGCATGATGAGTCACAGTCTGTAGTCTGCATTTTAGATAATACTCCATTTATCAATAAACAAAAGCCTAACATTCTGTGGAAGCCTAAAAATAAAGCTTATATATATATATATATATATATATATATATATATATATATATATATATATATATATATATATATACACACACTAACCTAAAGGATTATTAGGAACACCTGTTCAATTTCTCATTAATGCAATTATCTAATCAACCAATCACATGGCAGTTGCTTCAATGCATTTAGGGG